TCTCCATGTCAGGGCTGTCTTGGCGGCACGACTTTTGCTGTTGTTCTTGCTGATGTCAATGGTATTTTTTCTGTTTTGAGCGATGTTGGATTTGGCATGTTTTCGGCCTTGAAGTGTAGTGACAATCTACGGAACTGCTAACATTGGAACAAATGCGCGGTTTTGCGTCGCTGCGAAACATCCCCAGTGGGCGTCTATATTTCGGGTTTTTGAAGGGTTGTTGTCATTCTTGTTCGATGGTTGAATTTTGACAAATCGAGAAAGACTTTCTTTTTGCACGCTGCATCCCCAGCATCCCTGCATTCACATTCCCTGCATTCCTCACACCCCGGCCATCCCCAGTACTTGGCCATTTTTTTGCATCCAAACTTCATGACATTTTGGGCTTGGACATTTAGTCTGGACTGGTACGCAGTCCTCAGCACATGGGAGGGATAGGCAATTAGTCGCAGCAGTCGTCCACAAATGGCGTCGGCGGATCGAGTAGCGATTTCAATATCTGAGGCTTCCACACAGCTCTCTGCCAGCTGCATGGTCTGCTGCGGAAATTCGACCACACTCACCAGCTGCATCAGGCGGCGCGAGCATGACATTGCCACCGGTCAGCTGCAGCAACAGTATATCAGCAGGGGTCTGTTGAACTGAATCTGCAACTGTTCACGTAAACCCTGCCCTTCTTGCAACGCTTGTTGTCAATCGGTATCTGCATAAACCAAGGGCACACGCATAGAACCTATTGAAATACGGCGCGTAGATGCAGGCTTCACAAGTCATGCGTGCCACTCGCAAAGAACACGACCACTATATATTCAGCACATGTTCAACCAGCACAAAAACCCTGCCTGTCCCTGCTCATGGCCCACAATGGCTGAACCAGCTGCGAAGATATATCCCCCGCGCTCCTCCCTGACTGTCTGCTTACCCTGTATCTATCAGCATTGCAAAGACATGTTTTGGACGCTCAGCTTCCAAAGGGTCGCCGGCGCACAAGTCTGCGAAACTTTGTACCGCAGTTCACCTGCGACGCTGGCCACTAGAAACATGCTACCGACAGGATTGATCGGTTCAAGACAAACACGTCGCTTTCCTTTTCTGTAAGTCCGATGCCTGCACCATGGTCTCCAAGTCAACTTGATAAGCGGCACGACTGATGCAGAAATTGGTCAAGGAAGAGCTGCCCTCCCAGGCCTGTGCAAAGTGGAAGCCACACATGTGTGCTCCCATCTGGTGATCAAATGCGCGTCAAACAAATGGCGTGACTGCCTTGGAATTCAGTTCGGGCGCTCACTGGTTTCTCGGCATTGAAGGAGTTTGCTCCAGGCGCCTTCTCCAACAGAGTGCTGACTGTATCGTCATACTTGCCTTCGGTCGCACCATGGAAGCTCTTCGGAATCTTCGGGGTCTGTGGCCAGGGCCCTGGCTCCAAGCCCCGTGCCCGCCTCAAGTTGCACAAGTTCCAAAAAAACCAAACTGAGCGCAACTGAGCGCTTGCAGCCTGGGGGTGAGGCTCGCGGAAGCGCACCACCTGGGCTAGCCGCGTCTAAGAGCTCGTTATTCGTTATTTCTTTTCAAGCGAGGAATTTGCGAGGAATTTGCCACATTCCAACATGCTCGCAGTAACCCCGAGCATGTACTTCTGTACCAAGTCGACACCAGTAGGGCCGGCGAAGCTCTCTCTCTCTCTCTCTTTTCTTTCTTTGTCCGTTTAATGTTCTTTCTTTCCTCCGTGTCTTTCTCTCTTTCTTTCCTTATTTATTTCTTATTTCTTCCGCTCTCTCTTTCTCTTTGTCTCCCTCTGTTTCTTTCTGTCTTTCTTTCTGTATTTATTTCTTCCTTTCTTTGGTGCGCGCTAGCATTCTCTATTTCTTTCTTCCCTCTCCCTCTCTGTCTCTTATTCACTCTCTTTCTCTTTACTGTTGCTCCCTACCTTCCTTTTTGAAACTTATATTGTTCTTTCCTTCTCTCCTCTGTTTCTTTATCTTTCTCTTCTTTGCAGCTTTCTCCCTTCCATCTACCCATCTTATCTAGGTGTCTACGTAGTCTATCTGTCTGTCTACCTGTTTACCTATCTATGTATCCACCCGTTCATCCATCCACTGGTCCACCCGTCCATCTTCTCCATCTATGCATGTAGTTGCCTACCCACCTATCTGTCCAACACTCGACCTGGCACTCGACCTGACTTAGTTACATACCTGTCTGTCTACATGTCTTGTCTGCCGGCGTTGCTTGAGCTTGTGCCGCTTGTTTGTTCTGGCAGGGTTTCCAGCTGCTTGGCCACTTCTTGCCGCGGGTGTTGTTTCGTCGTTTTCGGTTTCGTTTGTTGATGCGCCAAAGGCCATGTCTGTCTGTCTGACTGTCTGTCTTAGTATTGGCGATATTGAAATTATTGAAATTCGCATTAGCAATGCTACATCTAATGTTGGAAATTCGAAATTTAGTATTGGCAGTAGCGACCAGGTGCAGTAAGCAGATTTGGACATCTCAGCACATGAGCAGGTATGTGAGCAAAACGTCTGCCTACCCCCCCCTCCAGGCTCTCAAAGTGGGCGACTTTGAGGGCCGCAAAACGAAACATGCGATCACTCGCTGCAGCCCACTCTGCTCAGCCTGCTCTTATGGTTCGTTTGAGCCTGGCCGAGGCTGGCAGCGTGCAGTGTTTAGAGTTTGAGTTCACCCCGACCTTCGTTGGGCCGGCCTGGGTTCTCTGTCAATCCTGTATTGGCATGTATTGGCTACGTTCCTCTCTTTTTCTCGGGTTGAGCCTGAAGAGGGACGTCCGCCCTGTCTTACTCAATATGGTCAATAAACTGATATATGTTTTCTGGCATTCTGACGTGCGGAGAGTACAAAGATCGACCTATATATATATATATATGTATCTATCCTTTTCGCTTGGATTAGGAACGTAAGGATGTTTGCCGAACCCGTCCGCTGGCGTATCGAACAGTCTTCAGGGTAGGTTAGGCTTTGGTCAAGTGCCTTTCTCCCCAAGCGAACCTCCGTTGAACACTGCCAACACTGCCATCTCAGGCTGCAGAAAAAGGCACTCCCAGGCAAAGTTGTAGACGCCGGCATGTTGTGCGACAGCTTCTTGCTCCCGCGCGCCAGCACCTCCAAAGCATTTAATTCCTGTCATGTTGCTGCCTTCTCGCTCTACAGCTAAAGTCTCGCTGCACACAGCCACCATACCGGGCATTCTCAATGTGCCTGCTGTCCTTCTCTCCAAGCTAAGTTCCACCTGATGTGGCAGGTGCAGGTGCAGTATTCCCAGCTAGCAAGCCAAGGACAACAAGCGGTACCTCCTTCACTAAGCGTGTTGTCTTACCCTTGAGCTCTGGGCTATGACATTGTCAACCAGAATCGCCATGGCCATGGCAGATAAATCAAGTCTGCATATTTTTCCGACCTCATGGATCTTCGCAGCTCGCTGTGCCAAAGCAAACGAGCCAAAACTAATTACTGAATCTGAGATCGCAGCGGGCAGGCGTGGGAAGGCTGTGCAATCTCGCCCCCTGACTGCCTCAAGAAAAGATGACCTTGGCTTCAGCGAGAGATGCCTCAATCACTGCCGATGGCTTGATGCCTGCCACCACCCTGAACTGCACACCACGCAGTCCAGCAAAGCCATCCAAAATAAGCCACGCTTTGCGATGTGAATCTTCATGGCCAGCCTCTCTAAGCCCTTTACCCGATGGCATCGAAGCGCAGCCATGGTCCTTCCGTGCAACTAAAGCTTCACAGTTCAACCCGGTAGGATGCATGCCAACTTGCATTGATAACACGCAGCCAAAAATGGCACACGGGAAACGTCCTGTGGTCTCCGCAGGCCGCCATCTCCAAAGAGGAGTCTCAGCCTTGAGTGAGACCGCAGCATGGCAACGCAAAACTTGTAACGCGAATGGACTCTGAAGAACCGGGATGCTCGCTACAAGCTGCGATTCATTGGTTGGATGCGACACGTGAGTGCCATCGCAATACTCCGGCATACACCTGCCATGGAGAGGGTTCAATTCAAACTCTTGACCTCAATGTCATTGGCACGTGCCAAAAAAAGCTCAGGAAAGGCACACGAGTGGAACGCCAATTGTCTCGCACCACTCGGTAATCCTTGGCTGCTTTGCGACAGGAAAACCTTTGAACACACAAAGGTTTCATACTTCATCATACTGAACTCTGCAAGTGTCGGTGCCGAGCGAGCAACACTTTCCGCCATCATCTTATGAAACAAATGGCTGCCTTCGACCAAGGATCGCTGAGAAGAGCTTGGTTTTCTGCCTGGAATGATGAACCACCACCTCAAAGACAGTGTCTCGTGCCTTGTCATCTCCATGATGCGAGCCTTTTCCAAGTGCAGCCCAGCTGCCGCCTCCAAATGCTTCTTGAATTCCAGCTCGCCGTGAATCTGCACTTCCTGCGTCAAGCCCAATGAATCTCCACAACCTCCTCTTCACCCAGCAATGTCCGTCCTTGTATCCACCGGCAGCTGTGTCAAGCACTGAAGAATCCACAAATAGACGATCGCCCAGAGCCACCTATGTCAGCCACACAAGTGAACAAGTTTGCACCGAAATGCTACCCTGCAACCACAAGTCTGTGATTGGGCCTCAGTCACAGCTTGCAGCTCTGCATCAGTATACTTCCTGACTCTTTGCATCTCAAGTGTGTCGGAGGTCGTTGCTGTCTAATTGGCGGTCAAGGCTCTCCAATACATGTGCGTACCATTCCTGGAAAATACAAGATATCAGATTTACATGAGGCCGGGGGCGCAATTCCAGCGCACAAAGCATTCAAAACCAAGTGACGCAAGATGCTTGTTGACCTGCTGTGCAGGAATCTCGATCTGAGAAGGTGGTGCGCAACCGTACGCCGCGCAGAACCAGGTAATCCTGCCACAAGGAAGTGCTTCCCTGCCAAATAAGATGGTAGCCAGGTCCTGTCCGTACTGCTTTGCCACCGATAAAATACCTCGCCTGTGGCCAAAACAAAGCAAGGACATGCAAGGACAACTTGTGACGTTTGAAGACTGAGCACCTCACGGGTCGTTCACTGCATTGAGGACGCCATACTTCACCCGATCGAAATTTTGTACATTGTCATAGATTTGAGGGAACAAACGATCCTCCCATGCCTCGCAGAGGCAACAGGCGATTCGAGCAACTGCCCAAGATGCATGCTACAGCGTTAGTCTTAACACCAAGCAGTAAGCTTAGATTTGTTTGCTATGTGCTCCCACACAAGCTTGCACTGCGGAAGGAACAAGCTGTTCAATCACAAACAGATTCATGCAGCAACTCTGCTATGCATTACTGATTCAGAAACGGAGATTGTCGGCGCATGTCTGCGCCTTCCGCTTGCTCATGTCACTAGATCCGCTTGTCGTTCTTGTCTCAAACTGATTTCGGTAGTGAGTGTCCTCGGGGGAAATTGGCACAACTTCCAACGTAAGCTGCAATGTCTCCTGGCTGAAGGCTTTCACGCGCTTGCTGAGGTCGGTGTGAATCACAATAGGCGCCTTTGCGGGATGAGATGCACAAACATTTTCTCTCGAGCTACTGGCATTGCAACTCCGTGGCTTGTCATTTGGTGTGAAAACTCGAAGCTAACAAATCGGGCCAACTTGATTGGTCTACCAGCCTGCTTCAACCAAGCCAACCTTTCCTACGCCCGGCAAACTCCAACAAATCTGGTACAACTACAGTAGCACCAAATGACATGTCTGGCACCCACAAGCCTAATCTGTGATACATGTCCCTTGCCACAGAGCTACCGACAAGCAACATCTTATCCACGCGCAACTACACTTGCTAACAGCGCCTCGTCTCGTATATATCGAAGCACTTTGGCAAGAGTATCGTGGCCGTAGCCCCACCTTAGTTGGATTGGACCCTTCGATGAGCCACCATGCAACATTGTGCAACCAAGCAACTTTGCAAGGCGCCTGGCAACAAAAAAGCGCAATTCATGGCTCAGTGGTCTGCTTCTGGAATCGATACTAAGTAAACACACGGCCACATCTTTGGGGTGAGTGAAATCGCAAACGCGTCATACAGAGTCATACGTTGTGCCAACTTCTCTGTAACATCAAGATTGTGCAAACGAAAGTGTCTGCACACATATCTTAACTGCCAATCATGACCTGGTCCTGCAGTGTCCAATTCGTCAAACAATGGCCTCCCCTAGATGTTGCGTACAGCACAAGTCAAACACACCCAACCACACACTCACACACGACATACAAACTCTGGCGATCTCTTGCGTTTATGGATAAAATGGTCCCTGGACGTCCCTGGGCCCACAGGACCGCAAAACAGCAAAACAAGGTCCTGCCTCTGCAGCCCTTCCACGGCAGCTTGGCTCTTTGGCCGCGCGTTTCGGGCCACATACTGCACGGCCTGGGTTTGCTCCGGGGTGAGCACGTTCGCCGCGTCGAGTTCCCTGAAGGGACCGAATCTGCCAGAAACACAGCACAAACACAAGAAAGCAATCACCCATGCAACGAGCGTGAGCGCATTCACCTACATGTCTGCTCCTGACGCCCACCTTGGCGCAGATAGCAGCAGTCCGGGGAGCAAGGCTTGCAGTTGGCTTGGCAAAGGTCGTTGCTTTGCGCCCTGGACACATGTTCACTCCAAGGGCAACTGGGTCTTCGGTTTTCCGTCCAAATGTCTCTAGCAGCCTATGGCTCACTAGTCATCTAGTCCCAGCCTCACATTCTGCTGCACACGTCAAGGGCTCGAGAAGCAATGCCGGCCGGGCCAACTTGGCACCACGAGGGATGAATTCCTCAGGAGCACGCAATTGAATCAGTACTGAATCAGTTTGCAGTAGGAGCACGCAATTGCTAGTACTGAAATCAGTACTGAATCAGTAGGCCTGTGAGCCTGAAACCTGTGTCCTCGTCGCTGTCAAAGCCCTCAAATTCCAACTCGCAGCCTTGATGGGCATGCGCGCATCTCACTACTGCTCATACATATCATGGCATTCGTCTTGCATGCACTCGGAAGCAAGGCCCCAGCTCTCACCATCAGAAACTTCTGCATGACTGCGCTTTGTGCCCTGGGCAGGTTATCAGGAGACCTTCACGGGAACAGCAGCAACTTACTTAAAAGCTCGTCCGAACTGCACAATTGCATAGCCTTCAGATTTCCCTGTGCAGACGCCGTCGGCATTGCACCTGGGCTTGCGGAGCTGACGAATTCTTGGGACAGGTAAGTAGGAGGAGCCTGTAATTTCTTCTGAAAGCTGTTCCTGCTGCTCACAGCCACTATGAGCTCGAAAGATCAATAATGCCAACTGCAATGTCTATTGTGGCTCCTCATGCTCGTCGTCGGAGCTGATGCTAATCTCCTGGGCCTCTGGATCCGTAAAGCTCAATTGTAAGCTCAAATCCACTCTTGGCAAACAGAAGTAACAGAAGTGCTTCTCAGGGCCTAACCTCTGCGAGGCCCAGGGCAGACATGCAAGCCGTAATTCAACTGAGATGTGATGTTCTCTGCTCACACCTTGCAAGTGGCGACAATGTTCCTTGCTCAATCAGTTGCGATGTGCCATCTTCGCACATATCGTGGACGGCTACAAGCTTGGCCGCTGTGACACTCACTGTTTGCAACTGCGATGCTACTTGCACAAAGCTGCAGAACATGCATATTGGGCTCATCGGCTCCAATGGCCATCTTACGATGCTACAGTCACCTATGGCAATGGGGCTAATGAATGCAAATGACAGCATGCAACGTTTATTCTTCGCGCGGCTGCCAGGGGCTATGTGAACATTCATCCAACCATCCTTGAATGTGGCCATGGTGTGGATGACGCTTGACCAATACATGTGAGACTGAAGGCAAGTCTCAAGCTCCCAGAACACCTGGCCAGCGGTCGCTGGCAGCTCTGCATCAGCAGTAGTGCTGCAAGCAAATACCGTTTGCAAGTTGCACAGCCTGGACTTGTTTGAACGTGATTTGTTCTTGCGGCACCATGCCGCGCTTGGACGCGCGTGGCACAAAGCATGCAATATTAGACTGAGCCACGAAGCAACCAAGCCAATCTCGCTGTAGCTTATCTGTTGAAAACAACAAGAAGAGAACAAGTTGAGATAGGTCAGGATGGTCAGGCCAAAGGCCTCCTGGGCACCCAGTGAGGCTCAGCTTGTTTCGCGGCAAAACTATGGTACGACCTGGGCTGCGATGCAAACTCCAAGTTAGTCGCAGCTGTTGGGGTAACGTCGGCGGGCTCACTCCATCCTATGCTTCAGCCTGACTTACCCTAACATATTTTGTAAAGTCTTCTACAAGGAGTGCTCCACATATGCCGAAGTTTCACCTGTGCCACTCGATGGTTTCACACTTTCCAGCCCTTGGCCCTGGATGAGCAAATTTTGTCAACCTGTGAACAGATGAAACAGGCCAACATCTGTGCTTGCCATGGTCTACATGTGCCGCTTCATGCGGGGGCATCTGGGCAGTTGTATTGCTGAATCGCCTCGATGGGCGCCGAAATCGCGTCACGCGAAACGTGCGCCGAACCAAAGGCCACCGTGCCGGCTCAGGCATTGTGGCCTCATACATCGTACCTTGGCAAACTCCAATATCTCGAATGCTCGGACAACCCCAGCCCTGGCAAAAAATGTCGCCCAATGTATTGTGTGTCCCGCACGAGTCCGTGCTCTCCTCAACCGACAGCAGCTTGTCTGGATGTGAACTTGCGCCTCCAGCCCTCTAGACTCTAAACTTGGTTCCTGAGATGTGCCCTCTCAATTGCGCCGCGTCGGACAAACTTCACATGATTGAAACAACATCTGAATGATGCTGCAAACGTCGTTTTGGAACTGAAACTGCGAAGTGGGCATGGCCGTCGCACAGCGGCATTTACAACATTCGCGCGCAACAATGCAAACAACATCCAAAACAAAGCGTGACTTGCGCTACTGGTGCAAGTGGCCCTACAAGGAAGCTTGCCATGCATGAATGGATATGCAAACCTCCAAAAAATACCGCACCCTGGAAAACATGACAAATGTTCTTGACCTCTTAGTTCTAAAGGATGCATTGATGCTCAAAGCCCGGATAGCCCAACTACCGAGAAACTTCTAAAGCACAGCATGAACATATCTGATAAGTGCTTCGAAATCCATGGCGCATCGTTTCACTGGCACCCGAGCTCCACCCAAAACGGCTCAGACTAGATGCGATGGCTGGCAGTGGGCGATGCCACATATACTGTGCCTGGGCTGCACATAGTGACTTGCCCTGGCTCCGGCAGTTCGAGGCATTTTGGCAAAGACATGTGTTCTCCTTGTTGAGCCCAGGACCCGGTCCTGATGGACATTGGGACCTTGGCGCAGTTGGTATGCACGGCAGAATATGACCATGCCATTGAGCGCTACACATGGTCAATGACATTGCTCGCTGCCATCACTGCTATCCTGTCGGCAAGGGTTCTTTATTGGACGTTGTTCCTCCCAAGAGGTCAAGAGGAGTTGGGCCATGGTGTTTGAGCCTCGGCCTTTCTGGATCGTGATCCAGTCGAAGTTGCACCTGGGCAGGCTGAAGTGTTTCTTTTGTTTTTGCCTAGCCCTGGCATGAGCCTAACCCTGGCACAGCCTGGCGCGCACGAAAGAGATGCATTTCACTCTGCAATTCGGGCTGAGGGTAGGGGTAGGTTTTACGTTCCGTTTGGGGTAGGTTCAGGCCCGGCATCGTTTTAACCAACTCCTCAGCATCACCAGGCTTTGGGACTGGGCTTCAGCTGGGTTATTCTCCGGTGGGCCCCAGGCCTGTTGAGGTGGTTGGTAAAATAAGCAAAAAGTTAACCACCGGCTGTGGACATATTTCAGTGAGTGAGGGTGGGTCTTGGGGTGATTTGGGGTTGACTATGAGCGGGTTTTGGCTGGCTTGGGGCTGACTTGTGTTAGGTGGATACGCAAACTTTGGTCGTGTTTAGGATTGGTTTTGGTCACTTTCCCCGCCTGGTGATGCTGAGGATGTTGGAACCCACCCCAAACGGAACCTGAACCCCTGGTGTCCTAAGCCAGCCAAACATCCCCCTTAGCAACCCCCAACTGCCTCCCGCAGATTCACCCTATATGCCCCTATGATGATTGAAGAAGCGCATACATACAGGCATATGTACGTACACATAGATTACATAGAGCAGGGGAAACAAATTACCAAAGGCCGCTGGAACCAACAAAAGGCCAGCCACCGCCAGCCGGAGATGAACTGGGAAAGCAAAGGATGCGAAAAGCCAAAGCCAGCAAAAGCCGCATAACCCAATAACATCCGCAAAAGCCAAAAAGCAACCTGCCAGAGAGGGAACGCACCGTCGCCGTCAACAACAACAACACCACCACCGCCAACAACAACGACAACAACAACAACAACAACAACAACAACAACAACAACAACAACAACAACAACAGCAGCAGCAGCAGCAGCAACAGCAACAACAGCAACAACAGCAACAACAGCAACAATGGCAACAACAGCAACAACAGCAACAACAGCAACAACAGCAACAACAGCAACAACAGCAACAACAGCAACAACAGCAACCACAGCAACCACAGCAACCACAGCAACCACAGCAACCACAACAACCACAACAACCACCACAACCACCACAACCACCACAACCACCACAACCACCACAACCACCACAACCACCACAACCACCACAACCACCACAACCACCACAACCACCACAACCACCACAACCACCACAACCACCACAACCACCACAACCACCACAACACACACAACCACCACAACCACCACAACCACCACAACCACCACAACCACCACAACCACCACAACCACCACAACCACCACAACCACCACAACCACCACAACCACCACAACCACCACAACCACCACAACCACCACAACCACCACAACCACACAACCACACAACCACAACCACAACCACAGCCACAACAACAACAACAACAACAGCAACAGCAACAGCAACAACAACAGCAACAGCAACAGCCGCAGAACCAGAAACAGCAACAGCAGCAGCAGCAGCAGCAGCAGCACCACCACCAACAACAACAACAACCAACAACCAACAACAACAACAACAACAACAACAACAACAACAACAACAACCACAACCACAACCACAACAACAACAACAACAACAACAACAACAACAACAACAACAACAACAACAACAACAACAACAACAACAACACACACAATGGCAACGGCAGCGACAACAACAACAACCACAACAACCACAACCACCACAACCACCACAACCACCACAACAACCACAACCACAACAACCACAACCACAACAACCACAACCACAACAACCACAACCACAACAACCACAACAACAACAACAACAACAACAACCACAACAACAACAACAACAACAACAACAACAACAACAACCAACAACAACAACAACAACAACAACAACAACAACAACAACAACAACAATAACAAGAACAAGAACAAGAACAAGAAACAGAAAAAGAACATCAACATCAACAACCACAACAACAACAACAACAACAACAACAACAACAACAACAACAACAACAACACGACCACCACCACCACCACCAACAACAACAACACAAACAATGGCAACGGCAACGGCAGCGACAACGACAACGACGACGACGGCAACGACGGCCACGGCAACAACAACCATAATCACAAGCAGACCCACAGCCACAGCCACAGCCACAGCCGCAACCACAACAACAACAACCACCACCACCACAACAACAACAACAACAACAACAACACAACCAATGGCAACGGCAACGGCAGCGACAACGACAACGACGACGACGGCAACGACGGCAACGACAACAACAACCGTAATCACAAGCAGACCCACAGCCACAGCCACAGCCACAACCACAACAACCACCACCACCACCACCACCACCACCACAACAACAACAACAACAACAACAACAACAACAACAACAACAACAACAACACAAACAATGGCAACGGCAGCGACAACGACGACGACGACGGCAACGACGACAACGACAACAACAACCATAATCACAAGCAGACCCACAGCCACAGCCACAGCCACAACCACAACCACAACAACAAAAACAACCACAACCACAACAACAACAACAACGACGACAACAACGACAACAACGACAACGACAACGACAACGACAACGACAACGACAACAACAACAACAACAACAACAACAACAACAACAACAACAACAACAACAACAACAACAACAAGAACAAGAACAACAAAAACAAACAACATTGAACGGGTTTTCTTGCCTTTGGCTGGCATGGATACAGTGCTACGCGGGTGCACTTGAACAGGTGTTCTTACCGTTTGGCTAGCATGGATACAGTGCTGCGCGGGCGCACTTGAACGGGTGTTCTTACCCCAGGGCTACAGTGCTGGGCAGGTGCACTTGAACACGTGATGCCCCGCAAGCTTGTGAACGAACGTCATTGTCATTAGCATTTGCATAGCTTCCATGCCTGATGGGCTGG